TTGAAGTTTGGGAATCTAGCATTTGGGAATCACTGGTATAAATAATACATTATCATTTGTCCAAGTCACCTTGACCAATAATCAATAATTCTAGGAAATTAAGTTCAAAATACCCATAGAATCAAAGCGTGGGAACCTCTGGTCTGGACCTTAAAGGAATTGTCACTGGTACTGAACTTACTTGAGAAATATAATTCATCACTCTAGATAGTGTTTATAAAATTCAGACTAAAGCCCGGAATGTATTAACCAATCCCCTGATATGGTTGTTAGCAGCTGCTAGTGCCTCAGATCTCGTGGCCAGGCTAACTGAAGGATTCTGGGAGATGTCAAAAAGGATTTTGGCCAAGCTCTCCAGGATTCAGTACTAGAGGAAATTATATGATTTATATTAATGTAGAAGGAGTGTTTCAGTTTCATTTGTATTGCTTCATAGTAATATCCAGCTCTCTCTCAGCAATATGTAGTGCAATATATGGTTGTTTTTTGGAGCTATGGGTTTGTCAAATGTCAGCATGCAAACATTCAGAGATCCCCACCCCAAAGGCACACATGGATCATGCTGGCATCACTGACAATAGGTACTAGTCCTAACACGCCAAATAGAATGAGTATATTCAGAAGCAGCAGGCCACTGATTAAATAGTGCAAAAAAAGGAGTGCTTATTTTCCTCTTTTCTCACATCTTGCTGGTGGACTTTCTAGAAACAGTGGGTACCCACTGCAGGAAATAGGATAGCCCTGAAATGGGTCAGTTCAAATGGGTCTTTGACCCAATCCAAGATCCCTTATACATTCTGACAAACTAATGTATGCTTTTGTAACTCACAAGATTTGTGGAAGTGGCACTATTGAAGTCATTAATCACAGTGCTAAATACATACTTCAGACAAAGGGCACTGCATATAAAGGGTTCCTTAATAATCATTTCCTGTTTAGTTCCAATAGGGCAAAATGTGATTCAAATCCAGATCTTACTATCATCATTGATTTTTTTAAAAGCAAGCAAATTTATTATTATTTTTTTAAAAGGGCAGGCATTGGGTAAAGAATGAAAAGTTAATCACACTCAAGATAATTTGTGATTTCAACCTCAATATATGAGAATGGGAATTATAAATCAACACATTAAATAATCATGTAGAAGCTTTTCTATGGAAAGCATTTCTTTGATTTTTTTCTCTCCATATGGAAAGAAAAAGCAGGATATAACAACGGCAGAAGCAGCAACATCTGGAGAATTCTGCCTACATGGAAGACTTTCTATTAAAAACAGTTCCTATGTAGGAGGCTTGATTATTAGTGTGTGTGTCTTAATCTCGGACTAATAGAGATCCTAAGGCAAACATATCATTTTTTTAATTTTTCATGTCAGGAGTGATTTGAGAAACTGTAAGTCACTTCTGGTGTGAGAGAATTGGCCATCTGCAAGGACATTGCCCGGGGACACCTGGATGTTTGATGTTTTCCCATCCTGTGGGAGGCTTCATGTCCCCACATGCGAAGCTAGAGCTGAGATGGGAGCTCACCCTGCTCCCCAGATTTGAACCGCCAACCTGTTGATTAGCAGTCCAGCCAGCACAAGGGTTTAACCCACTGTGCTACTGGTGGCTCCAAACCTATCATGGGGTGTACATAGTAATATTTATTCAGAATGGATGTGCCTGCTTTTCTTTGAGTTTGAGAGAGTGGGACCTATCCAAGGTCATCCAGTGGGTTTCCATAGTTAAGTGGGGAATCAAACCCTGGTCTCCAGAATCCTAGGCCAATATTGAAACTACTACATCACACTGGCTCTTAGGAGGGTTGCACTACTTGAATTTGTATGGATTCCAGTCTAGTTCCATTGACCTACTTTCAAAACCCATTCACTCTGCAAATGCCACCCACTTTGGCTCTAGCTCTGCCCATTTTTGCTTGTATTCCAGAACACAAGTAACAGTTTCAATTTAAGCAATGCAGAACTCAGCAAGAAAACCCTTCTCACGTGTGTTTAAAGCCAACAGCTTTGCCGAGCTCCTACATACACACTTAACTTCTGTGATTTCAGTTCAAATTAACATATTTTCCATTCACCACTAGGCTTATCCTCTGGACAGCATGAAGACATGAAATAATAATAATAATAACAATAACAATGATAATCCATCCTTCTCTTTTGGATTTCCCATACAACACAAGACACAGACATATCATGGAAGGACAGAAAGGGAAGGGAAAGAAAAGAAAATACATAGAAATGCATTTTTTAAAAAAGAAATTGACCTGGCAAAGTAAATAACTCAGTGAGTAAAAGGTACTGCGTCCCCCAACAAGGGTACTTTTGGCTCCTCCCACGATTTCCTCTCTCACAAATTGGAGAAACGTTTCATTTTAAACCTGAGAGAAACAAATGCCATCACATTACAGAATTGGCCAAAAACCCGGATCATTATCAAAAATCCACTTCCCCACCACTTCCTGAAATGTTTGAAAAGAATGCTGGCTCTCACACTTAAAATGCACAAAGAATGCTCTATCCTATAGTTGAACGCAACCTAATGTGATGAACACAGTGGCTTCCCACATTTTGAGAGTAGCACTCCGTGGATTTTAGTAAATGTAATGAAGTGACAAGCCACAGTTTAGAAAAGTTAATTTTTGGAGAACATATTCCAAAATTCACCAGCCATTATGACCCATGATAGCAGGGGAAATCTCGGTGTTGTCATTTGAAAATAAACTTTTTTAAAATTCTGTTGTTGGCACAATCTTTTTGCAGGCCTCTTTTCCCTAACACTTGCATTTCCAGCAGAATAAAATGATTTTATTATTGTTTCTCCTTCAAGACACACTTTCCATAGCTAGATATGCATGTCAGCAAAGGAAGCAGGAGCGTGTGCAACCACTAGACATTTTTGAAAACCCTTAACAAAAGGTTTACAAAATGGCGACATACTGTTCTGTGTTGTTAAGTTCATACTGTTTATTAGTTGGAAATTCAGGCACTCTTGAGCTAATATGCCCAAGCTCCAGACATTCATAAACATTTCTAAGATAAAATTATCTTTTTTCTTTCACAAAAATCCACAGTACAGACAAAGTACAGAGAGAAAGTGCGCAATTGCTCACTATCTCACAAACGATATGAAATAGTTTCCATGTGGGAGATGGGTAGCCATGTTACTCTCTCGCAGCAATAAGCAACTTGTGAAACCTTAAAAGCTAACATATTTTACGTGGCACAAACCAATTTAATTGAGCATAAACCAGAGAGGCTCACAGCTAACTTCAACATGGATTTATGCAATCCTGTTAAAATAAGAATTCATCTGAGACAAAGTCCACATTTTCCTGAACACCTGGACACATTTATTGTACAAGATCTAAGAAACTTTTTAAAGAAAGCTACATATAGCACAACAGACAACTTTAAGAATTACCTTAATTGAACAACACTGGGAAATTTCCCTACGCTAATAAACTCAAGTTGAGAAAGGCCAAATCTCAAACTGATTTCAGTATTTACTTGTCAGAAAATGAAAATTGATTTTCCTGCCATGATTTAAAATGGTCTAAATAAATGGAACCAAACATGCAGTGCAATACTCTTCTCTTCCTAACTGCTATAACTGTCACTGCATATATGGAAAAATAAAGTAGCTGGACTACAAATCCCATAATTTACTGAGTCACATTGAGAAAGGATGGAATAGCATCATATATATCGGGTATGGGTAAACCCAGGTCCGGGGGCTGGATGCGGCCCCTTGGGCTCTTTTCTCAGGCCTTCCTCTCTTTCACCATCCTGTCCTTCCTTCTCTCTTTCTTTCCTCCTTCCCTTCCTTCTTTACCTTCCTCTTTCTCCCTCCCTCCCTCCCTCCCTCATTTCTTCTCTTCCACCCTCCCATCCTTCCTTCCTCCCCTCTTTCCTCCATCCTTCCCTCTCTCCCTTTCTCCTTCCTTCCTTTTCATCTTTCCTTCCTTCTCTCTTCTCTCCCTCCCTTCCCTCCATCTTTCACCCTCCGTCCATTCTCTTCTACCCTTTCACCCTGCCTTCTTTCCCTCTTTCCTCCCTCCTTCCCTCTCTCCCACGTTTTCCTTCCTTCCTTCCTTCCTTCCTTCCTTCCTTCCTTCCTTCCTTCCTTCCCTTTTGTCTTTTCTTCCCTTTCTTCCTTTCCTTCCTTCCATCCATCCTTCTCTTTCACCTTCCTTCCTTCCTTCCTTCCTTCTTTCCTTCCTTCCTTCCTTCCTTCCTTCCTTCCTTCCTTCCTTCCTTCCTTCCTTCTTTTTTCCTTCCTTCTGGGGCATGTTTAGCTAGGAGAAGGAAAGGTTGAGCGGGAACATGAGAACCATGTTTCAAGATTTTAAAGGGTGTCCCAGTGAGGGGGGGGGGTAACTTTCTGCTGCTCCAGAGACCAGGGCACAAGGGACCAATGGTTTCAAATGGTAAGGAAAGAGATTCAACTGAAAAGATTAGGAACAACTTCCTGGAGAGTGGCATAGGCTGCCTGGGAGTGTGGTGGAGTCTCCTTCTCTGGAGGCTTCCCGGCAGAGGCTCATTGGGAGTGCTTTGATTGTGCTTTCCTGCATGGCAGGGTGTTGGATTGGATGGCCCTTGGAGGTCTCTTTCAACTCTAGGATTCTATATCAGGAGTAGGCAATATGGGGTCTAATGGATACACTTTTTCTCTCCCGTCCACCACCTCATTCTGACCAAGACCAACCCTTTCAGAATGCAAATATTTCACATATTTCCTTCAATTTCTGCCTCCGAAAGAGAAGAGGAAGGGGAGGAAAGGGCAGCGAGGGGACTTAGGGAGAACCCCTCTCCCCCAGTCCACCCACCCCACTCCAGCCTGCCATGCAGCCCCCAAGTTAGAAAGTTTTCCCATTCCTGATAAATACGCACGCACACACACACATATATACAGACACATACACATACATACATACACACATACACATGAAGGACCTATCTATCTGATACCTAAAAGGTGAGAAAGGTTTTTATGACTTACCTGCTGAAGCACAAGGAGAAGATACAGTATGTGGACTCCATATAGCTTAAGCATCTTTAAGCCTTCTCTTTTGTGTCCTATAAATGTTATCACAAAAAGTTTGAGAAGAGACAAAGTCAAGCTCTCTCTTAAGAGCTGAGTCAAATGTTCATGCAAACAGGTAATTCAGTCCTCCGAACGGTCATACCACATTTCCTCCCAAGGATGTGGTTCCCCTTTTTAATTGATAGAATGAAAAAATGAAAAAAATACAGGCAGCACAGAAAGGCACTAAACCAAACCATAAGATTCGCTATTCAAGGGGGAATTACGTACATCAGGTACAATTCTCAGAGGCCTTCCTTTGTAAGGTTTCACCCAACCCACAGCAAACAAACTGGTTGGATCTGAATATCCCTCCTCCTCCTCCGATGAGGAAAGGCTTCCTCCAAAAGAGGACGTTTCTTGCCTCAGCTCAAAGGCAACTTTGGACTTTACAACACAACAGCTTGGTTTCCATTGCTATACAATACAAGGAACAGAAACTCGGCATAGCGTGTTGTGGGGAACCTATGGAGATTTGAGAAGGAGGTTGATCACGCTAGAAGTAAAACAGAAAAGCAAATAGGAATGGTGGGACTAGGGGAAAATGCTGCTGAAATGGTGAAAAGAAAATGGTAATACAAGGAGGGATATGACTGGGAATGTTTCACAAGTTCTAGTTATTCATTATAGCTCTACTACAGACCTCTTCCCTTGTGAGGGTGAGGGGATTCATAATGTAAATAATAAGAAGAAGAACTGGAAAAGCTGACACAATACGAGGATTTAAAGATTGAACTGCAAAGACTCCAGCACAAGCCAGTCAAGGTGGTCCCAGTGGTGCACACTGGGTGCAGTGCCTAAAAACCTTGGCCTGCACTTAAACACAGTGTCTTTTTGTCTTTTTGAAGACAAAGAATTTGGCTTCAAAAGGCCACCCTATTGGGATTGGCACACATTATTCGCCGATACAACACATAGTCCTAGACACTTGGGAAGTGTCCGACGTGTGATCCAATACAACAACTAGCATAGTGATCTTGTTTGCTGTGTACTAATCTTGTTGTGTTTCAGATCATCATCATCATCATCATCATCATCATCATCATCATCATCATCATCTTTATTTGCATTCTGCCTCCAAAAAGGGACTCTGGGTGGCTAACAAGGCACTGCAAATGCAGTATAAACATCAACAGTACATAAGTATAAAACAATATCACATAAAAGTTATAAACAACCACTATCAACACATAAAATAAAATGAAATACACAATTTAAAATCACTTTCAATCAGTAGTTAAAACTAGCTGCCATCAATACACAACTAAAGTGCCAAAGTGTCAACCTAATATAGGCTCATATCAGCCTATTTGAGACCAAAGGCTAGAATGGAAGGATTCAAGGGTAAGGGCTAATCTAATCTCTTGGGAGCGTATTCCAGAGCTGGGGAGCTGCTACAGAGAAGGCCCTCTCTCTCATCCCACCAACCACACTTTATATTGCTTTCTCTGCCTTCAATTATTCAGTAGGAAGCTCTGCACACAACATAATGTGGCTTTAACAAAAGCAATATGGAATATCAGTTTTGCCAGCAACTGAAGTCCCATTCAAACTACAAAATTATGGCACTTTGGTTCCATGGTGGTATCCTAAGATATCCTGGGAATTGTAGTTTGGTCAGGGGCATTGGAACTCTTTGGCTGAGACCTCTAAGGACCTCATCACATTCAGTCACCCAGCGCAGGTGACTGCAGGGAAATTTGCCAGGCAGCGTGGTGAATCTGGTGGGCAGCAGGGGAATCTGTCAACCCATGCCCCTCATCGCCCACAGCACTGCCTTCTCCATCCCACAGGGGAAAGTGTCACTGCTTGGCTTCCCCCCATGCTCACCCCGTTGTAGGTAGTGAGAACACAGGAAGCCTCCTCTTAGGACACATTCAACACAGTTCGGATATGGAGCCCCACTGGAAGTAGCTCAATGTTGTTTGATGGGATTCAGGGAGCTCCATCCCTGAACTGTGATAAAAAGTGTTGTAGGAACGTATTCTCCCCTATGAACCATCAAGATTATTAAGATCGTCTGGAGAGGCCCTGCTCTCGGTCCCACCAGCCTCGCAAGTGCATCTGGTGGAGACGAGGGACAGGGCCTTCTCGGTGGTGGCCCCTCGACTCTGGAACTCTCTCCCACTGGAGATCAGAACCACCCCTTCTATCCTGACATTTAGGAAACAGGTGAAGAACTGGTTATGGAGACAGGCATTCAACGAGTGAGCCAACACCCTGAGATATGGATGGAGGATGATGAGCAACGATTTTAGTGTGACGACTGACCATTATAGTTATTGATTGTAATTGCTGTTTTAATGTTTTACTGTAATATGTATTATGATGTTTTATTGATTGTATGTGATATTATGGTTGGAAACCAGTCTGAGCCCCTCAAGAGAGGTGAGAAGGACAGTATACAAAACTTTTAAATAAATAAATAAATAAAATAGGATGGGTAAAATTGCCTGTGTGATCAAGTCCTAAATGTCCTTCTCTAAACCATCAATCCCAGAATTCCTTAGGCTGAATCATGTGAATAAAATGGAATCATGGTGCTATAATTTTGTAGTGTGCAAGGGCCTTGATTCAGACAAAGAATTTGGCTTCTGATCTTGGAGAAAGCAAATGTTAAAAGCGACCAAAACATAAATTGTTTTTTAACAAGCAAGGGCAAGTTTCTTCAACATGTCTGATGAAAATATGTGAAAATAAAGCCCAGAAGCTGTTTAAATCTTCTAAAGAACTGGTAGAAAAAGCATCTCTTACCTCTTGCAGAAAAAGACCCAAATTATTCTGAAATAGATCACGTTGCTCACGTTGTTGGTAGTGACAAGTCCTGTCTCTCTTTGCAATTTCTTAGAAACTTCCAAGACTTTGAATAAACATTAACTAGTCTTTTTACAGCAAGGTGTGGCTTGAAATGGTGGCTATAGCAATAAAATATAAAGGACACAAATTAAAAGAGTCTCCACAGACTCACCCCTGAACTTGCATGTGACAAAGAGCTTGTTATACATTTAGAAACTGGGTGAAAATGATACTAAAAAAAGGGTGATTTCATAGTGATTCATTCGCTTTAAGTAGAAACAGAAAGAGGGCATGCTCCTTCATTATGATAAATCATGCAACGTCGTGAACAAAAGTTAAATTCAATCAAGTATATTTTTTTAGTTCCATCACGATCAAAAGAGGTAAATACTGGAGAGCACCCAACAGAATCTACAAGGAAAAATGGGAGAAACATCTCCTGATACTCAATGGATGGCTTTAAAATTGTAGAAAAAATAATGTGGATGTTAATGTAAGGTTGGATCTACAGTGCCATATAATCCAGATTATCAAATCAGATAATCCAGATTATCTGATTTGAACTGGATTTTATGAGTCTACACTGCCATATAATCCAGTTCAAAGTGAATAATCTGGATTTCATACAGCAGTGTAGATCTAGCCTAAGTTCTATCAACTGGAGCAGAAACAGATAATTAATTACTCCTATTACTAGTTAAATTTACTTGAATATCCACCTTAACTTCCTTGAATTCAAGGTGACGTATGTGGTTTATGTTTTGTCCACTGTCTCTTCACAACTGCCTTGTGAGGTAGACCTTAAATTGAGAGATAGTCACAGAACCTAGGCAATCCATTAAAGAAGGGAGAGTCAATCAAGTATCCTCTAGATTATTACACTTCCTATAATTCTCAACCATTGGCCATTATAGATGGGGCTTACAGAAGTGTGACCTAAATCATAGATTTCCAAGAATCTAAGCCATCAGCTCAGGTTTTGGACTTCATCCCACAAGCAATTAAAGCATGTGCAATAGTCTTCTTTGTGTGTCATTTCATGGAGCTCTGTCTTTTAAAAATACAGAGAATTTGCTCTCCTCCATCACATAGGTTTGCCTCCTCCTCTTTCTAGTTCAACCATTTCAAGGATACCAGCATACTTTTTAAAACAGGTGACTTCTTTAAAACACCACTTTCCATGACATCGTTCCCCTTAATCCCCTACACCAGTGTTTCTCAACCTTCCTAATGCCACATCGTCTTAACACAGTTCCTCATGTGGTGACCCCCCCCCCACAACCATAAAATTATTTTCGTTGCTACTTCATAACTGTAATTTTGCTACTGTTATGAATCATAATGTTAATATCTGATATGCAGGATGCATTTTCATTCACTGGACCAAGTTTGGCACAAATACCTGATACATCCAAATTTAAAGACTGGTGGGGTTGGGGAGGGATTGATTTTGTCATCTAGGAGTTGTAGTTGCTGGGATTTATGGTTAATCTACAATCAAAAAGCATTCTGAACTCTACCAATGATGGGATTGAACCAATCTTGGCACACAGAATTCCCATGACCAACAGAAAATACTATAAGGGTGTAGTTCACCTACATCTGGAGAGCACTCTGAACTCAAACAATGATGGCTCTGGACCAAACTTGGAACGAATACTCAATGCATCCAAATGTGAACACTGGTATTGTTTGGGGAAAATAGACCTTGATGTTTGGGAGTTGTAATTGCTGGGATTTATAGTTAACCTACAATCAAAGTGCACAATGGATCTGTACTAAACTTGGCACACTACTTACATGGCCAACATTGAATACTGGTGGTTGGGAGAGCAGTTTCTGAATTCTGGGAGTTGTACTTCACCAACACCAAAAAGGAAGAGGACAGGTGGAGAGATCTTCAGCCTTCTCTACCAAAAGGTTCCTAAGACCATCAGAAATATGTGTTTTTGATGGTCTTTGGCAACCCCTCTGAAACCTCCCCCGCAACCCCCCCCCCCAGGGTCCCAACCCCCAGGTTGAGAAACACTGCCCTACACTAAAAGAGACAGACATCCTTTCCTTTTTTGAAACACCACTTTCCATGGGACCCTAGTCTTCTTTAAACTGCTAATAGAATCAGAAGGAACATTAACATATTGTCCACAAGAACACTCACACTGAAACATCACAAAGTAATTAGATAAATCCTCCACTTCCCATCACAAGGAAAAATACCTGATTTTAAGTGTTTCTATGGGCAGGGAAAGGAGTGG